CGGTGGTCTAAGCTAGACGTTAACTTATTGACTGAGATATGATAAAATATGATCTCAGAATCTCAAACAACTATAATACCCTAGTCAACAGGTTAACGTCTAACTCAGACTGTCGTCAATATTTTAAACGGAAAAGGACGAGTTTGGAACATATAAATATTCAGATGACTATTTTGTAACTTTTAATAGTCTGGAGACTCAACAAAATAAAACAATGGCATATCGTCATAGAATCATTTTGTAATTTTTAATAGTCGAATAATTCAACAAATAACTTTATATAGTCGGGGGACCATTTGTGTGTACTTTACCCAGAATAAAAATAGATTGGATGTTATCCCAAAATAAATAGGTCAAAATGTATTGATTAATCATTATAAAAACTAAAACTAAAAGCTTAGTCAAACATCTTGGTTTTGAATCTCGATTAGTGTTAAAATCAGTTATCATTTTGTAACTTTTAATATTTGAGGGATTTAATAAAGTAATGTACTATAACCGAGAAATTATTTATGTATTTACCCTATAATTATTATAGAAATTGTCTTGAGTCATATATATATATATATATATATATATATATATATATATATATATATATATATAATATATATATATATATATTATAATTTTAAAAATATTTTTTATATTTTAAAAAATATTAAAATATTAAAATCTTTTAATTTTTAATTTCTTTTCCTTACTCTTCAATTCATTCTTATCTTTGCATTAAAATTGAAACACATATCATATTTATAATCTTAATTTTGTTATTACGATATTTAATCTCGTTACTAAAATAATTAATTTCATCATTATCATTGTTTTTTTTGTTATACTCCCGATTTTAAAAATTTACTATGACTAATTCATATCGATCCGCATTGTACACTTGATTTTTACACCACTATTATTTTTAATATTAACATATTTCATCTCAGTGTCTATTCAAATGATTTTTTTTTATTCATAATCAAATAAAATTTTAATTTAATAATTATGTTATATTTTATGGTTTTCTAAATTATATTTAATATAAAATAATATATTAACAATTTATATTATATTCAATTTAAATTTTTTATTAATTATAATTATATTAATTTTTCCGGATTATGTAATAATTCTATACTTATTTACAAGCAGAATAAAGATATGGTCAAATTTGTCAAATTTCTCCTTTAGGCAACTCGACGACCCTTCCCTTAAACTCCTTCCTTGACCCAAATCGAAAAATGGATCCAACCGCACCCTCCGCGTCGGCCGCCGGCGGTGCTGGTGGCGGAGGAGGACCTGCACCTTTCCTTGTAAAGACATACGACATGGTGGACGACTCATCCACCGACGACATCGTTTCATGGAGCTCCAACAGAAAGAGCTTTGTGGTTTGGAACCCTCCTGAGTTCGCCCGCCTTTTGCTTCCCACCTATTTCAAGCACAGTAATTTCTCCAGCTTCATCAGGCAGCTTAATACCTACGTAAGTTTCTTTTCCTTGCTGGGTTTTTTGTCTGATAAATGTATCTTTGTTGAATTCTCTGATAATTAGGCGAAATCATTAGCTTTTGAGTTCATTCTGTGATAGAAAATGCATGGGGTAATTCTAGTTTTATGTTTTTGCTACTTGAGATGGGGGGAATTTACCCATTTTTTGATATTTTTTCTGATAATTGACTAAACAGCTTAATTTCAAACTGCTTATGGGTATCAAACTTTGCCCGTCAATTGTCTTGTGTTGTGATTCATAGGGTGAATTCTATTAGAATTGAGGTGTTTTGTTAGTCAAAGAACTATGGAGGTGAATCGATTATCGATCTTGTAAAGAAAAGGTGAGAAATGTAAATAAGTCTTTTTTTGACTTTGGAATTAAAGAATCTTCAGCGTAGTTGTTTGACATTTTCATCTGTCATTCTTGTGCTTTCCTCAACCAAAATATACTTCTCTTTCTGTTTTTTCATGGTTTCTAATGAATAGATTTCTATTACTTATAGTTTGCTTAGGTTAGATGTGTGAGAATTGAGTGACTGAGTATAATCTGAGTGCATATGTATCTAATTTGGGTGACAGGGTTTCCGGAAGATTGATCCCGAGAAGTGGGAATTTGCCAATGAAGATTTTGTGAAAGATCAAATGCATCTTCTTAAGAACATTCACCGTAGAAAGCCTATTCACAGCCATAGTAATCCTCCAGGTTCTTTGATAGATCCGGAGAGAGCTGGATATGAAGAAGAAATCGAAAAGCTTTCACGTGAGAAAGCTTCACTTGATGCTAATGTTTCGAGGTCTAGACAGGAGCGATCAGCTTTTGAAGCAGCAGGTGGAAGAGCTGATACTGCAGGCCGATCAAATGGAGCGCAGGCAGGAGACTTTGTTGAGCTTCTTAGAAAAGGCTTTGCAAGACCCTTCTTTCGTCGAACATATTGTCCGTAAGATTGAATCTATGGATGATGTTGCTGCATATAATAAGAGAAGAAGACTGCCTGAAAACGATCAAATCAAGCCAGTTGGACAACATGGTCTTTTGGAGAACAAAAGCAGTTCTACACCTGAGTTTGGAAACGTTGTCCACCTCGATTTCTCGAACAAGCTAAGACTAGAATTGTCATCAGCCGTTTCGGATATTAATTTGGTTTCTGAGAGCACACAAAGTTCTAATGAAGATGGAGAAAGTCTTCAGAGAAGGATATCTCAAGGTGAACCAAAGGATGATAATATCAGACCCGAAGGCATTTTATTCACTCCTGAAACAGTAGACCTTTCAGATAGGGGCACATCTTTTACATTCAACATGGATTCATCATTCACTCAAAGAGTATCAATGAATGAAAGCCCAACTGTGCATTCACTGCAACAGAGATTAAGTTCCAACGAGGAACCTGATAGTAATATTTCCTGTCAATTAAATCTAACTCTGGCATCTTCGTCATTGCAAGTCAATAAAAGTCCCAGCTTAACTAGGATGTCACAACTAAATTGGGAAATTGGAAAAGTCTCCGAGCCAAGGTCCAATGCCAACAGTAAAGACTCTGATCCCAGAGCTTTTGAGAACAGCAGAAACATGATTGATGGGGAAACTACATTATCTTCATCAAAAGAAGGTTCTAATAGAAATCAAGAGAGCCTGTAGCTCCTCCAGCCAGAGTGAATGATGTATTTTGGGAACAGTTCCTTACTGAAAGACCAGGTTCCTCTGACAATGAAGAGGCAAGTTCCAATTATCGAGCAAATCTGTATGAAGAGCAGGAAGACAAAAGGTCGACCCATGGGATAGCAAACAATGCTAAGAACATTGAGCAGCTTAGTCTTTGAGCAGCGAAGTTGTCTTTCCAGAAATCCAATGAGAAGTCTACAAAGGTGTCTATCATTCCTTTTGTTCCTTTGCAATAGATATAGTTCATTAATAGGATTCGATTTTATATATAACTGTCAAAAATTAGTTTGAATAAAATCATGTTGTATTCCATTTGTTTAGTGGCGTGTTTCTATGAGTGCTCAAATTCGAGAGATAACAACCTTTTTTTCAATTGTAAAATAGAAAGTTATTCAGCTGTATTGTCTAGTTTTCGAGGTTCCAGTAACTAAGCAACTATGTTTATCTTGTGAAACAGACATAATCTTTCTTCCTTTATCGAAACTGAAGTCTCCTCTTGAATGTTTTTTCTGCCTATAACTTTCATTTTTGGCAAACAGAAACAGAACTGCTGTTTCTGTCAAAATGTTCAGCTAACAATCCATCTCATACGTTTTGATATTGTTGTTTTTTTGTTACATCAGTCTTTAGTTACAACATTATTTTGTTCGTTTCGATCGATTCATTCATAGATAATTCATTAGTTTGAGCAGCGAGTGCTATGCATGATTTGAGGTTTTCATGTTTCTTCAGGATTCATCTGGTTTCGATCCTTGTGAATGAAGAAAAATAGGTATTGTACAGACCTTTCTCTCGTTTGGGATCTCACTCGGCTGAATTCCATGATATGCAACTATTAGATATCGAAGGGTCTTGACAAAAGGTACCCCAAGTAGGATGATGTGAAGTGGTATGAATTAGGCAAGTGAAAGGCACACCATGCTGAGCAATTGAGGCAGTAGGTGGAGTGTTTACAAGCAAAGCTTTTCGAGTATATAAACTCGAGTTCCACTCTTCCCGATAAGCTGGTTTTGGAGGAAGAAGGTAACAGTTATGGGACAAGTTGATACTGAAGTTAACTTTTTTTTATTAAACTAAGGTGATTACAAAGTAGTATATGTTCTAAATACTTTTAATCATTTGATAATGAACGTTCAATCACCATGTTGTAGTTACTGATACTCGAGCATGGAACCTTTAGGAATAATAATCATTCCTTTAACTACTTGACTAAAGTAACAAAATCATTGGCCATAGGGGTCCATTAATCAATAAATTTTGAGATTTTCATTTCGGTTTTATTTATGAAAATATTGACCCGTCCAAATCATGCATTGCCAACTTCTGGTGTTGTAAGAAAACAATGGAAAATGACAAAACCAAGCATTCCAACTCACCAATTTCCATCAATTATCATTTTCTTCACGAGAGTAATGAAGCCAAAGTTTTATTCACGAGCTCAATATAAAAAGGAAAAAAATCATTAATATCATAAAAAAAGTTGAAAAATTGATTAATTCGAATTGTGCATGTTTATCAAGAAGCAAATTACACAACAAGACAAGACTATATTATTTATTATATTTTATATGGACAACATGCAATTATTATGCTACTTATAAGCCACCTGCCAAGTACTCCGAACATTAAAATTGTTGACCTAATCCTCACAAAAAAAATAATAATCTTTATCCTAAAAATAAATCACAGAATAAAATACACCTCATGAGATAAAAAATATTTTTTTTCATGAATTTTATAATGTATAGACAATTTCCAAGGAATGTGGGACAGTTTATAAGGAAGCTTGATCAGTTTCAATGTCTTGTCCTTATACATCTCCTTTCCAACTACCCTAAAATGTTTTTACCACCCCCCACCTCAACCACACACACACACGTATGAAGACCCCTAAAACAGGACATCAGAACTCCCCAAAATCCCCCAAAAATGGCCATTCCCAAACTCATCTTGACCACACTCTCTCTATCCCTTCTTTGCCTCCATACTTGTGTTGCTGTCTCTGTAACAACCCGATTTTCAAAATAATATTTAATTGAAATTTTAGAGGTTAATTGTGAAAATTGGTAAATTGTTGGTGACTAAATCAAAATTTATGAGAGTTTATAGGCCATTTTAGAAGTGAAGAAAATCCAAGGATCAAGCCTTGAATTTACCCTAAAACTGTCGGCAGCTTTGATTATAAGCGTGCATATGGTTCTGATTTTCAGAACCAAAAGGCTTCCAATTTTCCTTTCCCATACGCAGTTTCCAACTCCGATTCCGACGCCGTCCAAATTCCGATCATCGTTTTAAACCCACCGTTGTGTTCATCATCGAGCGAGGAACAAACCCTTCAAATTAATTGAAGCGAAACGCGGCCAAACGTCGGGAATTTCCAGTCAAAGTAGCGACGGTTTTGTTAGCTCTATCGCCGAGGAAATCTTAAATTCACCGCTGATCGTTGCTCCGTTTACGACACCTCCCGCACCATCGTGTTCCTTGTGCCGTTCCGAGTTCACCGGTGTCAACCTTGTCCGCCGTAGACGGCGGCGCGTGAGGAGGTGGTGCAGTCAAAGATTCGACCGATTTGAAATCGAGCTCTCCGCCGTTCAAAAATTTGAACCGATCGTTGTAAGTATCTTGAAATCGCTCAAAATAATTTTTAGAAATTTTTCCGGGATTTTTAGGGCCCGGAGGACGCCTCACGCGCCACACGCGCCGCCGCAGGGCGAGTGGCTGCTGGAAACCGGTTTAACCGGTTTTCAACCGGTTCTGACCGGTTTGACCGGTTTCAACCGGTTCGAACCGGTTTGACCGGTCTGACTCGGTTTGACCGGTCTGACCGACCGACCGTTGACCCGACCCGACCCGACCGTTGACCCGACCCGACCCGACCGTTGACCGTTGACCGTTGACCGTTGACCGTTGACTTTCTTTGACCAAAACTTAAAATGGCTTTGACCGAGCATTAAACGACCGTTAATCTTTTCCGAGTATACCTATCCTGATAGTTTTCGACGTGCCGAATCCGTTTCCGTGGTCTGTTTTGTCAAATTCGAATCCGAAGGTCTCCAAATCTACGGTCAAAGTGGTTGACTTTGACTTTGACCAAGAATTTGAATTTTCAAAAAGTCATACTTTATGTTTTTCGACGTCCTGATTCCGATTCCGTAATCCGTTTGGCCAAATTCAGACTCGAAATACCTCAAATTGATAGTCAAACCCGAAAAATGCGTATATACTTAAGAAGTTTAGCTTTGAACAATTAAATAGGATTTGAGACTGATAAATATTATTGTTTGAAGGTACAAGAGACTCTCCGGATCGTTCGACAGCTCGACCCAGCTCTTCTAGATCAGTTAAACCACGTGTGCCAGTATTTACCCGTTCGAAAACTGTAGCAGAGCGTGGTGAAACCAGCAATCAGTAGATTTGTTATTTGAATCTATTGTCGAGGTGTGTTCCCTACTTATTATTGAACTGTTTTATTGGTTTTAATATGTGGTACACCGAATTCATTGGCTATTGTTTTATGGATGCACCAATTTAATGTGACAATTTATGGAATATGGCTGCTATCTAATTTTGTTTGAAATGGTATATGATTACCATGTTTTGGATTTATGGAATTTATGTCACGGTGCAATTGAATTTTGGAATTGAAATACGATGGAATAGCTCTGATCAAGCTAATTGGGCCTAATGTGACTCTTGAGGGCCCCAAGATGTTTCATTAGGTCGGCTTTCCTTTGCTGTGTGCTTAGGGTAAGCTATATGGACTTATTGACTTGGGCTTAAGGATACAAGCTTCAGAGCCTATCCTTAAGTCGGCTTTCTTTTTGCTATGTGCATAAAGTAAGCTATATGGAAAATAATTTTGGGAACTACTGATGGTGTACCAGAAAAGGGTTTAAACTATGATTTCAAAAAGTTAAACTCTGTTACGAATTTGTGAGATTTCTGGACTATGATTTGTACCTATTGTGATTTTATGGAAATGTTGGGACACACTGAGCCTAGCTCACCTTTTGAAAATGTTTTCCCCTTTCAGATACTGTTGGGTAGATACCTTGGTTCGAGCACTTGGAGGATCAACATATCTCTTGAAGTAAATCAGATTGTAATGTTTTTATCTGGCAAGTTTACTTTATTTTGGTGACATGGACCTTATTTTAAAATATCGGATTTTATAATGATAACACTTTTGCTACTACTGCTCGGTTTATTGTGATTTTGAATTTGAAGACATGTTTTAAATTAAATTATTATTTATTTGTACTATATTTACGAGTTGGTTTTTGATAGTATAAATTGTTTATAATTTCATGTTTTTATAATGTGATTTATATTGATGGAATAACGGTTGCGAAAAATGTCTTTAATAATTATAATGTGATCCACTAGACTTAGTCGAAACGCATAGGCCGGTCTAGGGGGTTACATTTATTGGTATCAGAGCTTTTGGTTTTTAACCCTCGGACTGTGTATGAGTCCACATTGAAAATACGGTTTTGAAATATTTTACAAAACGAGTTACTAAGGCCATGTCACAAAGTTATTAAGATTTTAACTATGTTTGAGACTCCAAGTGCTTATCTAACCCTAAGTTTTATCTTCTGTAGTAAACTTGAGATCCATCAAAATGAGTGCTAGACGTGGTCGTCGAACTAGCCGTGGACGAGGTCGAGTGGCTAGATTTGCAGATCCGATCGATGAGATACGAGTAGATCGCCCACCTCCGATAGGTGATCCTGCTCCTACGACCCCAACGAATCTGCCTCCTACCGATGGTATTGGCATGACTACACCGATCATAGGAGCGACAGATATTGAGTCAGAATCTACCGGAGTTGCTTTGGATGAGACTTTTGGTAGACAATTTCTGCAGTTGATACAGGGAGCAGTCAGAGCTGCTGGTGTGTATCTGAGGTTCCTATTTCGCAGACTTTGATTGCCAATGGAGTTAGAACTTTTGGGGGACAGATAGGTGGAGCTCCTACTGAAGCTGAGGATTGGCTCCAGGATACAGAGAGACGCATGGATCAGTTGGGTTTGGACTCAATTAAGAGATATCAGGGTGCTGTGGCGATGTTAGATGGCAATGCCTACACTTGGTGGGAGTCAGTGACCAGTAGTGTTCCTACCGATCGTTTGACCTGGAATTTCTTTAAGGATCGCTTTCGGAGCCGTTTTCTGGGAGAGCGCTACTTAGCTCAGAGACGACAACAGTTTCAAGACCTGGCTCAGGGAGACATGACTGTTTCTGAATATGAGATCGAGTTCCTGAAATTGCTGAAGTATGGATTCAGTATGGTACCGACGGAGAGAGATCGATGTCGTAAATTTGCCCTTGGACTCAGATACGAGCTGCGTAGGCAAGTTGTAACCCATCAGGATGAGATATTTGATGTGCTGGTGGGCAGAGCCAAAGATGCGGAAGAGGTGGAGTTTTTAGCTTCTGGTAGAGAGCGTGTTGATCAAGATCGATCTAAGAAATTTTCAGGCCCGATGGAGTCATCAGCACAGTCCGGAAAGAGGACTCGTACTTCAGCTCCTCAGAGAAGCAATACACGTTTCAGGCCTGCAGCATCCTCACCTTTAGCTGTCAGTCGAGGAGGTTCCTCGTCGTATTATAATGGGCCCCTTTGTGAGTATTGTGGTAAACAACACTCAGGAGAGTGTCGTAAGAAGATGGGTCTTTGCTATCAGTGTGGATCTAGTGGTCATTATCGGAGAGATTGTCCTCAGTTAGTTTCGTTTGAGCAGACCACTACCCAAACTCCTGTGCGTTCGCAGACTACAGTACAGACCCCAATTAGAGATCGTAGTCAAGGAAAGACTCGAGGATCAGCGTCCAGGACAGACAGTAGAGCCCGACCTCAGCAAAATAGAGGGCCAACAGCTTCTGAGGCTAGACAGCCAGCTTTGGTTTATGCAACTAGACGTCGTGATGACAGAGATGAGCCTGAGGTTATTGCAGGTACATTTACTATTTATTCTATCCCATACTTTGCATTACTGGACAATGGCTCCACTCACTCCTATGTATCGAGCTCAGTATCTCGAAACCTTCAGATTCCGATAGAGAACACTGAAAATACTGTTACAGTTACGAGTCCAGTAGGACAAGCAGTATTAGTGAATAAAGTATTTCGGTGTTGCCCTCTCGAGGTTCAGGGAGAAATTTTTCTCGCTGATCTTATGGAGCTTCCTCTAGAGGAGTTTGATCTAATTCTTGGAATGGATTGGTTGAATAAACACAAGGTAAAGCTGGATTGCGAATACAAGCGGGCTACTCTGAAGACTTCAGATGGTCGGACTGTTGTGTTAATTGGGGAACGGCGTGGCTATCTCTCCAATATAGTTTCAGCGATGGAAATTGATCGTATGATCCGAAAGGGATATGAGACCTTCATTGCTTGTATTTTGAACACCAAAGGTGCATTGTCCACGATCGAGGAGATTCGTACAGTTAGCGAGTTTCCTGATGTTTTTCCGGAGGAGTTGCCTGGGTTACCTCCTGATAGAGAGGTAGAGTTCGAGATTGAGACTTATCCAGGATCTTCACCTATTTCTATGGCACCTTATCGTATGGCTCCAAAGGAACTTAAGGAGTTGAAAGTCCAATTGCAAGAATTATTCGATCGAGGATTTATCCGACATAGTACTTCACCATGGGGAGCTCCAGTTCTATTCGTGAAAAAGAAGGATGGGTCGCTAAGATTATGTATTGACTATCGGAAATTGAACAAGATGACGGTCAAGAATAAATACCCATTACCCAGGATTGATGACTTATTTGATCAATTGCGAGGAGCTACTGTATTCTCTAAAATTGATCTTCGTTCGGGGTATTATCAATTGAAAGTTAAAGGATCTGATGTTGCAAAAACGGCCATTCGCACTAGATATGGTCATTATGAATTTTTAGTGATGCCTTTTGGTTTGACGAACGCTCCTGCAGCTTTTATGGATTTGATGAATCGGGTGTTCCGACCATATTTGGATCAATTTGTGGTGGTCTTCATTGACGATATTCTAATCTATTCTCGTACTGAGGCAGAGCATGACGAGCATTTGAAGATCGTTCTGCGGACTTTGAGAGAGCATCGTCTATATGCCAAACTAAGCAAGTGTGAGTTTTGGCTTCAAGAAGTGTCATTTTTGGGGCATATTATTTCTGCGCGAGGTGTTCAGGTTGATCCCAGCAAGATAGAGGCTATTATGAATTGGAAACGACCTAAGAACGTATCTGAAATCCGCAGTTTCTTGGGCTTGGCTGGTTATTATCGACGTTTTGTTGAGGGCTTTTCGATCATTGCTTCTCCTTTGACAAAGTTGTTAAGGAAGAATGTGTCGTTTGACTGGGGCGAGGCACAACAAGAGAGCTTTGAGAAATTAAAGGCGGTTTTGACTCAAGCACCGGTGTTGATTCAACCACAGTCCGGGAAGGATTTTACAGTGTATAGTGATGCTTCACATTCAGGACTTGGTTGTGTTTTAATGCAGGAAAGTAAGGTGGTGGCTTATGCATCCCGTCAGCTGCGACCGCATGAGTGTAATTATCCTACTCACGATTTAGAGCTGGCAGCAGTAATTTTTGCCTTGAAGATTTGGAGACACTATCTTTATGGAGAGAAGTGTTACATTTTCACAGATCATAAGAGCTTAAAGTATCTTCTGACCCAGAAGGAACTTAATTTGAGACAGCGTCGCTGGTTAGAGCTTCTAAAGGATTATGATTGCGTGATTGATTACCACCCTGGTAAAGCTAACATTGTAGCAGATGCTTTGAGTCGAAAGACGGTATCGGAGTTGAGGTCTTTAATGGCCAAGATGAATTTATATGACGATGGCACTTTGTTAGCAGAATTGCAAGTTAAGCCGACCTTGGTTGATGAGATCAAAGCTAAGCAGCCCCTTGATAGCTCCTTGCTTTCCATCTTTGAGCAAGTAGAGCAGGGGACAAACACAGATTACGCAATTGATCAGGATGAAGTTTTATGCTTTAAGGGTAGATATTGTGTGCCTGATGACGCTGAATTGAGGCAGACTATCCTTACTGAGGCTCATAGTAGTCCATATGCTATGCACCCCGGAGGAGATAAGATGTACCGGAATTTGAGAGAGAGGTATTATTGGACTGGTATGAAGAAAGACATATCTGACTTTGTGGCTAGGTGTTTGACTTGTCAACAAGTTAAGGCAGAACATCAACATCCATCAGGTTTGTTACAACCTATCAAGATTCCTGAATGGAAATGGGAGCGTATTACTATGGATTTTGTTACTGGCTTGCCTATGACTCCTTTGAAAAAGATTCAGTTTGGGTGATTGTTGACAGACTTACAAAGTCAGCTCACTTCATTCCTGTGCGAGTAAATTATACTTTGGATAAGCTGGCAATATTGTATATTCAGAGATTGTCAGATTGCATGGTGTTCCATTGTCTATTATTTCTGATCGAGATCCGAGATTTACTTCGAGATTTTGGAAGGCGTTACATACGGCTTTGGGAACAAGATTGGATTATAGTACATCCTTTCATCCACAAACTGATGGTCAATCTGAGAGAGTAATTCAGATTCTGGAGGATATGTTGCGGGGTTGCGTAATCGATTTTCATGGTAGTTGGGAGAACTTTTTGCCGTTGGCTGAATTGCTTACAATAACAGTTATCAGACCAGTATTCGTATGGCACCCTATGAAGCACTCTATGGGCGTAAATGTCGCACTCCGATCTGTTGGACTGAGTTGCGTGATAGGAAGACGTTGGGACCTGAGTTAGTGCGAGAGACGGAGGACACAGTCAGATTGATTCGTGACCGTCTGAAAGAGGCATTTGATAGGCAGAAGTCTTATGCAGATCAAAGGAAGGAAAGATATACAGTTTGAGGCTGGAGATCAGGTCTTTTTAAAGGTTTCACCCTGGAAGAAAGTATTGAGATTCGGGCGTAAGGGTAAATTAAGTCCAAGATTTATTGGACCATTTCGTATCTTGAAGAGGGTAGGACCTGTTGCATATCAGCTTGAGTTGCCTTCTGAGCTAAGTCGTATTCATGATGTCTTTCATGTATCAATGTTGAGGAGATACCGTCCAGATCCAGGTCACATTATTCAAGTTGAAGAAGTAGAGCTGAGACCTGATTTGTCATATGAAGAGGAGCCCATTCAGATCTTGGAGAGAGATGAACGAGTTCTTCGGAATAGACGAATTCCAATGGTCAAAGTTCAGTGGAGAAATCGAGGCCCCTCAGAAGCTACTTGGGAGACATTGGAGTCAATGGAGGCTCAGTTTCCTCAACTATTCTCATAAGGTAAATTTCGAGGACGAAATTTCTTGTAGAGGGGGAGAATTGTAACAACCCGATTTTCAAAATAATATTTAATTGAAATTTTAGAGGTTAATTGTGAAAATTGGTAAATTGTTGGTGACTAAATCAAAATTTATGAGAGTTTATAGGCCATTTTAGAAGTGAAGAAAATCCAAGGACCAAGCCTTGAATTTACCCTAAAACTGTCGGCAGCTTTGATTATAAGCGTGCATATGGTTCTGATTTTCAGAACCAAAAGGCTTCCAATTTCCTTTCCCATACGCAGTTTCCAACTCCGATTCCGACGCCGTCCAAATTCCGATCATCGTTTTAAACCCACCGTTGTGTCATCATCGAGCGAGGAACAAACCCTTCAAATTAATTGAAGCGAAACGCGGCCAAACGTCGGGAATTTCCAGTCAAAGTAGCGACGGTTTTGTTAGCTCTATCGCCGAGGAAATCTTAAATTCGCCGCTGATCGTTGCTCCGTTTACGACACCTCCCGCACCATCGTGTTCCTTGTGCCGTTCCGAGTTCACCGGTGTCAACCTTGTCCGCCGTAGACGGCGGCGCGTGAGGAGGTGGTGCAGTCAAAGATTCGGCCGATTTGAAATCGAGCTCTCCGCCGTTCAAAAATTTGAACCGATCGTTGTAAGTATCTTGAAATCGCTCAAAATAATTTTTAGAAATTTTTCCGGGATTTTAGGGCCCCGGAGGATGCCTCACGCGCCACACGCGCCGCCGCAGGGCGAGTGGCTGCTGGAAACCGGTTTAACCGGTTTTCAACCGGTTCTGACCGGTTTGACCGGTTTCAACCGGTTCGAACCGGTTTGACCGGTCTGACTCGGTTTGACCGGTCTGACCCGACCCGACCGTTGACCCGACCCGACCCGACCGTTGACCCGACCCGACCCGTTGACCGTTGACCGTTGACGTTGACCGTTGACTTTCTTTGACCAAAACTTAAAATGGCTTTGACGAGCATTAAACGACCGTTAATCTTTTCCGAGTATACCTATCCTGATAGTTTTCGACGTGCCGAATCCGTTTCCGTGGTCTGTTTTGTCAAATTCGAATCCGAAGGTCTCCAAATCTACGGTCAAAGTGGTTGACTTTGACTTTGACCAAGAATTTGAATTTTCAAAAAGTCATACTTTATGTTTTTCGACGTCCTGATTCCGATTCCGTAATCGTTTGGCCAAATTCAGACTCGAAATACCTCAAATTGATAGTCAAACCCGAAAAATGCGTATATACTTAAGAAGTTTAGCTTTGAACAATTAAATAGGATTTGAGACTGATAAATATATTGTTTGAAGGTACAAGAGACTCTCCGGATCGTTCGACAGCTCGACCCAGCTCTTCTAGATCAGTTAAACCACGTGTGCCAGTATTTACCCGTTCGAAAACTGTAGCAGAGCGTGGTGAAACCAGCAATCAGTAGATTTGTTATTTGAATCTATTGTCGAGGTGTGTTCCCTACTTATTATTGAACTGTTTATTGGTTTTAATATGTGGTACACCGAATTCATTGGCTATTGTTTTATGGATGCACCAATTTAATGTGACAATTTATGGAATATGGCTGCTATCTAATTTTTGTTTTGAAATGGTATATGATTACCATGTTTTGGATTTATGGAATTTATGTCACGGTGCAATTGAATTTTGGAATTGAAATACGATGGAATAGCTCTGATCAAGCTAATTGGGCCTAATGTGACTCTTGAGGGCCCCAAGATGTTTCATTAGGTCGGCTTTCCTTTGCTGTGTGCTTAGGGTAAGCTATATGGACTTATTGACTTGGGCTTAAGGATACAAGCTTCAGAGCCTATCCTTAAGTCGGCTTTCTTTTTGCTATGTGCATAAAGTAAGCTATATGGAAAATAATTTTGGGAACTACTGATGGTGTACCAGAAAAGGGTTTAAACTATGATTTTCAAAAAGTTAAACTCTGTTACGAATTTGTGAGATTTCTGGACTATGATTTGTACCTATTGTGATTTTATGGAAATGTTGGGACACACTGAGCCTAGCTCACCTTTTGAAAATGTTTTCCCCTTTCAGATACTGTTGGGTAGATACCTTGGTTCGAGCACTTGGAGGATCAACATATCTCTTGAAGTAAATCAGATTGTAATGTTTTTATCTGGCAAGTTTACTTTATTTTGGTGACATGGACCTTATTTTAAAATATCGGATTTTATAATGATAACACTTTTGCTACTACTGCTCGGTTTATTGTGATTTTGAATTTGAAGACATGTTTTAAATTAAATTATTATTTATTTGTACTATATTTACGAGTTGGTTTTTGATAGTATAAATTGTTTATAATTTCATGTTTTTATAATGTGATTTTATATTGATGGAATAACGGTTGCGAAAAATGTCTTTAATAATTATAATGTGATCCACTAGACTTAGTCGAAACGCATAGGCCGGGTCTAGGGGGTTACAGTCTCAGTTTTAGAGCTCCAAAATGCACTGGAAACCAGTGAGGTTGATGCCATGGTGAAAAGGGTTTTCACCAACAAGGTTGAAGATTGTCTAGGAGATGAAGAAATGGAGCCTGAGACTCAAAGGAGGCTGCTTTTGATGCAGACAAGGTACATCAGTTATGCGACACTGAGGAGGGACATGGTCCCTTGTGAGAAGCCTGGTGCTTCTTACTATGATTGTCATGCTGGTGAATCTAATCATTATAGTAGGGGATGTGAGATTATTACAAGATGTGCTAGAGGGATCAAAGGTGTTCGAACTTAGAACCTACACTTGAGCTGTCTTTGATGATGTTTTTTGGGTTATTGTTGTATATTTTAGAGATATTTGCCTTGAAATTTCTATAAATGAAATGCATGTTTAACTTTGGTTTTCAGTACATTTGAGGCTTGTTTGTCAGATTTGGGGGATGAACTGAGTATTTAGTGGCAAAATCTGGTTTTTCAATATGTCCTATGTTTGAATCAACTGTTCTGTTTAGCTATTGAAGTATTTTTGAGTGGAGAACAGAAGGAAAAGTTCAATTTACAATTAATTCTGCACTGTCCTTCAACTTCAAGGTAAATCCATGGCATCTCTCAAGCCTATCCTACGCTATATACTGTGTCAATAGTCTCACATGGTTTAGTCTAACATTATTTGTTTCTTATTTGTGGTATAAGGCTTGCCTGTTAAACCCTATGCCCCAACCAACTTATATTGCCAATGCCATGACTTCTGATTTTCTTGACTGTACTCGCATTTGACATCCGTGTCCAACACATATTCGAACTTGAATATCGAGATGTGATCCTCTTGATCATATGTAACACTCACCCGAGTTCGAGTAACATAAATCAAATGCCGGGTTTAATTAGCTTTGATAATCAAATGGAGGGAGTTACATTAAGGGCTCATAGGATGGTTTGTGATTTCATTTCTTTCTCACTTTTCATTCATTTGACTGAAGTTGATCATGTTTTCCCTTTGGGAGTTCTCTTTCATTTTTATTGAATTTAAAGTCATTGAGTTGATTCTTCCCCACCAAATAAACATGGTAATAATTGTTTGTAGATCATATGGTTGCATTGATTGTTATTATTGTTTTCGTCCTACATTGTAAAGGCTGGTTTCTTCATAGCCAAACTGGTTTTGAGATGCTTAAATCCAAATATCTGAAGTGCAGTCACCACCTGGATATCTCATCTCATGAGCCAGGCAAGCTCCATCAGGTTCAGCTCCAAAATCGATCAAAATAAAAATCCGGGTTTATTTTAAGGCCACCTTTCTTGGCCTCGACATCGATTCACGACATGTGGGAACATTTCTCCACAAGTTCCGGATAGAATTGTCCATCCGACGTGCTGAATAGCGAGTTCGTCGCGTATAGTCTCTTCCCATCTAAGCTCAACTGGGTCATCTGTGGCCCCCCTCTAAGACGATTCCCTGTAAAGACATGGCTCCATGACCCATCTTCGGTTTCGAAAAACAAAACCACGTTACTTGCCATGGCGCACCCGAAACGACGTACCCTGTATCCCTAGACATATCATGAAGGAATCTTATCTGCAAACGACAATGAAAACAAAACAGAACTGCATATCGCATTCGAGCAAAACCAAGTCTTCCTAAACAAAGTTGTAACATGTAACCGATCACCATTGAATTCTTCGAGCCCATCTTGTAGCATTCCTTTGTGGTGAACACAATGTAGTCATGAAAAATACAAATAATAATCACTGTGAATACATTTTCTTGATCTTTCCATGTTAATCTCCCACTGTTATTTTTCCGCTTCTGTATTCCTAACAGTAACGATGGAATACGGAAGTGGAGTTGTGGTCGGAATAAGCACCCCCTACAGTGATTTTGAAGATTAGGGTTGGTTGTTTCCATTGTAGGAGAGACGAGTTTTTAAAATTTTAATAGATAAGGAATTTATCAATTTGACAATAAGATATTACTTTATTAAATCTCTGACTATTAAAAATACAAAATAATCTTCTAACTATAGATAGTTTATTTGTTGAGTCCCTCCCATATTATTTTAATTTTTCCCTTTATAAAGAGTACTACCCCATTATTTTCATCAATCATGCATTGTTGTCGGTCTTATTTTTTACTTTGGTTTTTTTCTGGTTTCATGTGAGTGAGTGCGTGCTTAGAAATTACAATAAACGGTGGTTGACAATGATAAAAAGACACAATGATTATTTTATATTATTTTAAATTATTAATAATAAAATAGTATTTTATTATTTATTTTAAATTATTTTTATATTTAATAATTTATAAAAATGTCATGTCATTAAATAATAATAATAAAATAATCTATAATGACCAAAACATGGGCAATTTTACTTCCATGGAGCTTTGAAAATAAAGAATGGCTGAAATGAGGAAGGAGAAAAATTATTTTCCCAAATAATGTATTTTGAATAGTGTCGTTCACTGTTTGTCTCTTCTCCTCCACTACTGCAGCCTTTCTCTACCTCCGTCTCTCCTCCTTTAGCCAACCACCTGTTCAATAAATTTACAGTAAAGTTGTTCTCAAGCTCAGTCGAAACCCAGTTCAGAACTGAAAAATCATCGGATTTCGTTGAATCAACACTGGAAAGGGGGAGGTTTGTGGTGTTTAAAGTGGGGTTTAAGGTGAAATTTCGAAGGGAATGTGAGGGATTTTGGTGAGTTTGATTGATATTAACAAAGGCCTTCACTTTCAAGGTGATGTAATCTTGTTTAAACTGACCCAAAACGTCATTGATGAACTAGAACAAAGCTCCCTCCTTTCTCAGGCATCTGCAAATAAAACAAAGTGAAAACCCAGAAAGAACAAAGCTCCCTCTTTTCTCAGGCGTGCATGGCGACCTAACTGGTCGCTGGACGACCTACTGCTTGGTCAGTCTGCACGATGCACGGAGGACATGGCGACCTGCACAGGCCGCCCGGAACAGCTGGCGGCCGATTCTTTTACTGTAAAAATCACCTTATCTCAACAATTAATCATTCAACTGCATTATCTCAAGAAATTTTTATTTTGAAACCATTATCTGCTGACTTTTGTCCAAAACATGAGTAATTTGAAAGTTTAATGAGTAAATTAGAAAAAAATTAAAAGTATACTGAATAAAATAGGAGAGATAATAAAATACAATGATAAATTTGTAGTTTACCCATTTTGAAAAGACTTAAAGTTATATTATTTTGATATATAATAATTATATTAAATTTCTATTTAAATAAGTTGATTGAGACTATCCTTTTGAACTTTTCCTTTGACGCTGCTTTCATACTGTTTTGTTATGAACATGCAAATATATTTCAAATTTGGATAAAGTACACAAATGGTCCATCGATTATGGGAAACTACTTTATTGAGTCTTATAACTATTAAAAGTTTTAAAATGGTCCATCGATTATAGGATGCTACTTTGTTGAGTCATCCGACTATTAAAAGTTACAAAATAGTCACCCGACTATTCATATGTTCCAAACCTATCATTTTTTTCTTTAAACCATTGGTGATCATCTGAGCTGGACATTAACATGTTGATTGGGTTATGATAAAATCTGATCCCATAACCGTTTGAGCTGTATTTTATGGATCGACTCTCTGTTTACATTGCATTGTTGAGATAGTACTTGAAAGTGACGACGGTGTCAATAGACATTATTAAAATATGATTTTATCAATATCTTAGACAATATGTTAATATCCAACTTAGACAACTGCCATTTTTAACAAAAAAAAACGAGTTTGGAACATACGAATAGTTATGTGATCATTTTGAAACTTTTAATAGTAAGAGGATTCAACAAAGAAATATCATATAGTTGAGAGACCATTTTATAACTTTTAATAGTCATAGAATCATTTGTGTACTTTACCCTTAAAATTTATGTTCTTTCCCTATGGATTCTACTATATATATATAGCTCCCATGAATCCACCATTTAGCATCTCTCAGCACATTTTCTAACATTTCACAGGGGAAAGTTTATGGTACCTAGTCACCATGAATCCTCTTACTGTTGTAGGCGAGGTTGAGTCGTTAGATTATAGTCCTAACGTATCCAAACTAACCCACCTTGCCTCCACAAATAAAGCCAACACCGAATTAAAAACTTGAATCTCCTATAAGAACATCTAACTTGAATGTAAGTACCTCCTTTAACTTAAAGCCACAAGTGATATTTTCGGTCCTCCAATTTAAGGCACTAATTAAGACCTTGAATGTAAGTCTTCCTCCAATTTGAAGAGATGAAATGTCTCTTAGTCCTCTAAGGCTCTAACTTGAGGCACTGGGGTAATGATTTCACATTAAAGGCAGTTTAAACTCAAAGAACTATGAAGTGAACACGGAAAAAAGACAGCTTTTGCAAACAAGAAAATGGAAAAGAAACCCTGAAAATAAAACAACACACATCGTCTCACAAACGTAGCTGATGCACATAAAACCTAGTTTACAAGAACAGAAACTGATACGATCAAATTAAACGATGCAACGTATCTTCCAACAACACAGAAAATGAACCCAGAAAACAAGCTCTTTCTGGCCAAATCTTTCCAGCAGCAAGCAACGGTGCATCTTCCCCCCATCTTCAGTTCCAACCGCTATATATGAACAATTGGCAGTGAAAAGAATAAGCATAATTTCTAGACTACAAAATCAACGAGAAAGTAATAGATAGTTAAAAAAAACGCACCTTGGAATTTTTCATTCAGTGGATGTTTGTTTTTCCTTGAATTCTACGAACCCACCTTGTAACAATCCTTTGCAGATCTCTGTCCACGATTCTCACCAACCACCATGGCCTTCCGGTGGTGAACACAATGTAGGCTGTGCTTATTCCTACCACTACTCCACTTCCGTATCCCATCATTACAAGTTTCCAAAACAAACTCACTGCTGAACCACCATCTTCCTTCGACTTCGGTGCAGGCGGCTTCGGTCCCGGGACATTGCCGCATTGCTTTGTCACGGGGAAGCCACACAATCCCAAGTTTCCGGTGTAGGAATCATTCTCAAAGGTGTTGAATTGTTTTCCATTGGGGATGTGTCCCACGAGATTGTTGTGCGACAAGTTTAACACTTCAAGAAACGTCAGGTCTGTCAACTGGGATGGAATCTCACCGCTGAGCTTGTTTGATGAAAGATCCAACGATTGAAGTGCTACTAATTTCCCCAACGACGGTGGGATATGACCGATGAATCCATTGTGAGACAGGTTGAGCACTTGAGTTTCACAAAGCTCTCCAATTGAGTTGGGGATTTCTCCAACGAATCGATTGTTTGAAAAATCAATGGCAGTGTAAAACTCCAGAGCTCTTACTAACTGTAGCTCCATCTCTAATTTTTTTGACGTTAGATTCACAGAAGCCACACCATCTTCCATGCGTGAAAAATACACCTCCTTGTTTGTTGCATGCTTGAGAGCATCCAGATTTTGGAAGAAAATCGAAGGCAACGGACCCGTTAAATCATTGCTAGATAGATCAACAATCTTCAATGATTCAAAAGATGGTTTAACATGTTCTGAAACGTTCAAGGGACCATGAAAACCGTTGGATCGCATGATTAAAACTTGCAGCATTGGAAGAACACCCAACCAGTGGGGAAAGGTGTCGCTTAGCTTATTATTTGCAACATCTAAAAATGTCAAGGCAGTACATTTGATCAAGGATCGTGGCAATGACCCTTCCAATTGGTTGTCGTTAAGGGAAAGAACTTGCAAATCGTTTTCATGAACGCAAAAGTCAGGGATTTTGCCGGTCAAGCTATTCGTTTGTAGGTTTATGGTTGAGATGTAAGAGCTTGAATTTCCGACACAAGCCGGAATGGTTCCTGTCAAGTAATTTCTAGACAAGTCAAGAACATAAAGTGAACTCAAATTACAAATTGGAGGGATTTCTCCTGTCAATTTGTTTTCAGAAATCGATAGTATTTCCAATGAGGATGGCAGATCAAAGGGAAGATGGCCTTGGAGTTGGTTGGAACGTAGATCGAGGATTTCAAGATTCTTCCCTCGAAATTGCTCGAAACCAGTCAACAAGTTGTGAGAAAGATTTAAAAAGCGCAATCGTTCCCAACCCTCTGTTTCCCACTTTAAAATTGAACCTTGAATTTTGTTATTGGAGAGATCAAGTTGTGTCAAGCTTGTTGCTGATCGTAAAACATTCGGGAACCGCTCAACGTTGCAAGAGGACATGGATAAAGTTCGGAGCTTTTGAAAAGTAGAGTTAACACCGTTGTCACAACTCCATGATAGCAACTTGTTATTTGAAAGATCAAGCTCTTCGAGACTTTTCAGTTTGGATAGCTCATCTAACTTGATGACACCACTGAAATTATTTGATGAAAGATCAAGATCGACAAGATTTACAAGACCAAAGAAGAAACTTGGTATTTCACCTTGTATGTCATTATGATCCAAATAAACATGTTGGACTGAATTAGGCTCTTGAATCTGATCGGGAAGAGCGGTGAACCGATTTTGGCTGAGGTCTAAAAATGGCAGAGTGAAAAGCCAAGATGGAATTGCAGCACTGAGCAAGTTATCATGTAATCCCAAATCTTCTAGACGCTGAAGGCCGCTGACATGAGTCGGAAGGGGACCTTGTATCCTATTCGATGATAAATCTAAAGAAGTTAGGTGTGTGAGGTTGAACAAAGACGAGGGAAGTTCACCACTAAAATTACAATTAGAGAAATCCATAAAAGTAAGTCTGCGGAGGTTTCCAAAAGCATCTGGAATTTGGCTTTCGAAATGGTTGAATTCGAAAATCAAAGAGGTGATTTTTGTGAGGTTACCAAGAGATGCAGGAATTGAGCCTCTAAACTGATTAAACGAAAGGTCCAACAACCACAGAGGACTAATCCAATTGGACTTGGGGAGATAACCCGTCAAAGAGTTACCACCAAGATCAAGATACTCTAGGTACCCAAGCTGGAATATTTCAATAGGGAATTCCCCTTGTAACTGACAACCATGGAGATCCAGTTGCTTTAGAGATGAAGAAATGTTTAAAAAGGATGTAGGAACAACAACATCGGACATGTCTACATCCACAAGGGCAAGATTCTCTAATTTAGACAAGTTCCGCGTAAGCATACCGAAACTGTGGTCATCAAATTTCAAGTAATTATTCCAGGAATGATCAAGTGAAATCAGTTTCGATAGAGAAGTAATATCCGATGCAGCTAAATATAAGAAGTAATTACCAGAAAGATTAAGATGTGTTAGACTCACTAACTGGCTCAACCCAGACGAACCCAAAGAACCATCGAGACTGTTGTAGGCGAGGTTGAGTCGTTGGAGTCCTTGGAGGCGGAAGAGAGTGGTGTTTGGAGAAAGAGAGCCAACAAGCTTAGAGCAACTAAGGTCCAGGCTAATCACCTGACCAGTTGCCTTATTACAGGTGACACCATACCATGTGCAACAATCTGTGCTTTCATTCCAAGACTTTGTTTTGGGATAAGAAGTGCCATCACATGATTCAGAATGATCATCAATGGACAAAGTGTTTTTGAATCGGATTAAAGCCGAGCTGTCAGCTGGTGGACACAAAGGAGTTGGATAAAGAGAAGAGGAAGACAAACCAAGAGAAGAATGGACAAGGGAAAGAAAGAACAGTAAGAGAATAAACTTTCCCATGCGATCTATTAGAAGATGGGTTGAGAGATGCTATATGAGGGTGGATTCCTGGGGGGATATATTTATATCCTTTCATGTTAACTGTCACGTAAATAATTAGGGTAAACTATGTATTTAATACCTAAACAATCAATTTTAGTCTGTTTAAGTATCTACACTTTCAAAATTTTCAAAATCATACATAATGTTTAGTTTTTATTTCATTTTAGTATCCTACCGTTAAAAACTTAACAGACGGGTTGATGAGACATAGCTCCGGTGGACAGAAGATCAATCCAAACGGTGGATCACGAGAGAATGACGAGTCGATCAACATAGTTCAATTTCAGGCCCATCGAACGGTTGTCGACGAAGATCAAATGATGAAGAAATCGAAGAGTCTATCATCAATTTGAGGAGATTGAGGTATTTTCCGGTGAAACAGAGATCAGAATCACGTTCAAGGGGTCGAAAAGATACGGGCTAAAAAGTTTGGACTTAATCGGTTGATGAACGCAACGGTCGACTACTGTAGACGCAACGACCAGTGAGCCCGTCCGTTATGTTTTTAACGACATGGTACTAAAATAAAACAAAAACTAAACATGAAATATGACTTTGAAAAAATTAAAATATTAGATACTAAAATGAATAAAAACTGATCGTTTAGATACTAAATACATAATTTATCTTAAATACTTTATTATCGGTAAGTTTCGGATTTACGTCCTTAATAGACACTAATGGAAAAGTGTGGTATCACTTCATTAAGTCTTCGTCAACCATACTGACATAAAGATGGACTTGAAATATACGTTACAAAATTAAAATTAATTCTTTTAAGCCCCTAAACTTTAACTATTTAATCATTTTAACTCTCAATTTTTTATATTTATTCTTTTTAATTCAAAATATTTTTCCAATTTAACTAAAAGTAACAGAATAATAATTTTGTTAAGTCGATGCCAACTATTTTATTTATCTTAAAATGTTGACTTTAGTTATTTTCTATTTTGCCACTTCATATAAAATTTTAAAAATAATTATTTTTGAACTCTTTATAATATATATATATATATTATGATTCTATTTAAATTTTATACATTAATATAAATTTTAATATATTTGTACTAAAACAGTATGAAAGGAACATAAAAAATTAATTTCAATCTGCTAATTTCAAATTTAATCGAGATTTGATATAATTATTATATGTCGTGAGACTTAAAAAAAGTACATAATATAATTTTGGGTAAAGAACGTAGCTAGTCCCCTGATTATAGGGTACTGATTTATTAAATCCTTCGAATATTAAAAGTTACAAAATGATCCTTCAACTATAGAGTGTTTCTTTGTTGAGCCATTCAACTATTAAAAGTTACAAAATGATCACCTGACTATTAATTATATTCCAAGCTCGTTCTTTTTCGTTAAAATTTGAATGATATTCTAAACTGATATGATCCCGGTTATGTGTTCCGAGTCATATACGATGTTGCCCGATCGTGATTCTAGTAAGAACTTCGCAGTGCTTTGATTGAAGACTGAAAATGTACAAACAATGTTATAAGAAGGGAAATATGTATATATAAATATGTGTATGAAAGTAATGGAAATGATAGAATGAAGTTGAAGTGGATTGTAAATGAAAGAAGTGTGGTGGTGATAGTGGTTGAATGGATGTAATGAAAATGGTGAAGGATGTTTGCGGTTGGCGTGGAGAATGATAGTAATTCATTGAATGGATTGTGACCCACTAGCTATAGTAGAGCTAGGAACCAACGCTATAACAAGATGAAATGGATGAAGGCTTCAAGACCGACAAGAAACCGATAGAGTTCTAATCCAAGAACTAAATGAAAGCAATCTTTCAAAGTATTTTCATAAATCAAATTGTGTCTCTACAAATGATCCCAAAGGTGCCTATTTATAGTATTTCTAAGAAGAATATGAAAAGACTCAAAAGATGATAACATTCTCATCAATTTAGCAATAAAATGCACTTGAATGCTATGTCTTCTTATCTTCAAAGTTGAATGAATATTATAGATCATTTTGGGGATGAATCTAAACAATTTGAAGCTGAATTTGGCCTTAATTTCGTCCAAGGGGTGGAAGACTCTTGGGCTGCCTTGCTTTGCTTGCAAATGGAAGAAAAGAGGTTAAATGAAGTCATAGGATGAATGTGGACATCCTACATGTCCAAATCAGCTTGTCTCTCCTTTTTAGTTGTGTTTTGATCTTCGATGGACACATTTGTGAACAAGAATGTCGTTCGATCATTCGCTCCAATTTCTTTGAGATTGGGTCGAGATGCTTTTGAAACAAACTCCTTATCTCTTGTGTCGTGGCTTGCATTTGCAAGTTTGGTGCACCACCATCATTTTGGGCATCACCTCCTGAAATATGAGAATTGTCTCTAGAAGTACGAGACATGATTAGTAATAAAAAATGAAAAATAGACCTCACCAATACACTCCAAGGAAAGTATCTCCTCTCGTGTTTCACTCGGGATGGCTTTTACCCTTAATGCACACTCTTGACTTTTACCGCTCTTGCTTTCCTTTAAAGTTCTTGTGGAACTCCCTCGAGGTTTACAAGGTGTCTCGTAGACTTCGGCTAAAAGAATTGGGGCTTGGTTGGAAAAATGATGTGAGTAAAGAAAGAATTGGCTACAAGAAAGAACGAAGATGAGAATAGGCAATGAAATCGTAAAAATAAATAAAAGAAACGATGAAACGAATACGAAACCTTCTTAATTATTTTTTTCAAAGATGACAAAGATTGCTCTCGCCCTCTTTAAATTTTTTCTTTTATTTCATTTTTTTAGATTTTTTTAGATTTTTTTATTTTTTTACTAACCCGGGAGAGAGAAAATGAAATGATACGCTTACTGAATCAGCTAGCTCTGATACCAAATGATATGATCCCGGTTATGTGTTCCGAGTCATATACGATGTTGCCCGATCGTGATTCTAGTAAGAACTTCGCAGTGCTTTGATTGAAGACTGAAAATATACAAACAATGTTATAAGAAGGGAAATATGTATATATAAATATGTGTATGAAAGTAATGGAAATGATAGAATGAAGTTGAAGTGGATTGTAAATGAAAGAAGTGTGGTGGTGATAGTGGTTGAATGGATGTAATGAAAATGGTGAAGGATGTTTGCGGTTGGCGTGGAGAATGATAGTAATTCAAAGGATGGATTGTGACCCTCTAACTATATATGAGTTAGGAACCAACAATATAATAAAGATGGAATCGAAGTGATAGAGGGTGGAACGTGACCCACTAGCTATAGTAGAGCTAGGAACCAACGCTATAACAAGATGAAATGGATGAAGGCTTCAAGACCGACAAGAAACCGATAGAGTTCTAATCCAAGAACTAAAATGAAAGCAATCTTTCAAAGTATTTTCATAAATCAAATTGTGTCTCTACAAATGATCCCAAAGGTGCCTATTTATAGTATTTCTAAGAAGAATATGAAAAGACTCAAAAGATGATAACATTCTCATCAATTTAGCAATAAAATGCACTTGAATGCTATGTCTTCTTATCTTCAAAGTTGAATGAATATTATAGATCATTTTGGGGATGAATCTAAACAATTTGAAGCTGAATTTGGCCTTAATTTCGTCCAAGGGGTGGAAGACTCTTGGGCTGCCTTGCTTTGCTTGCAAATGGAAGAAAAGAGGTTAAATGAAGTCATAGGATGAATGTGGACATCCTACATGTCCAAATCAGCTTGTCTCTTCAAATTCCTTGCTTGTTTTATCACTTAATTTGGTGGTTAAATGAAATAATAACAACCTTCATTGCTTGTTCCCTTGAAGAATATGATCAGCCTTCAAAAGATGATAAAGGCCTTGAATACTAAGTTTTGAATGATGGTTATTGCATGTCCCCTTGCTTGAACATGAATGGCCTTCAATGAGTGATAACATCAACCTTGAATTCCTTGAATTGGTGAATTAATATGGCCATCAATTGCTTGTCTCTTGTTAGAAGATGAAAGGACTCTTCCTTAGCTCAAACTCATCCAAATCATCCTTGTATAAAATTCCCGTAATGAAAATTCCAGCCTGCACTGTCTTCAGTAAATCAATCATATCTCAAGCTCCCGATATCGGATTGAGGTGATTCAAAAGGCATTGGAAAGCTAAGAGATAGAGAAATAATTTCCAATTGATTTTTGGACCCAAAAACTTCTGTATCGAATCCAGAATTAGAATACATTCTGACTGATATTCTTGCATCTGTTGAGACTGTTCAACTTCCCTTTTGCACCTAAACACAAAGATAAACTTTATTCAATCAACTAAATGCATGAATGAAGTAGTTTATTAAATAAATAGATGCATAAATGAACTACTTCCCTAAATGAAATACATGCTTAAATGCAATACATGCTTTAATGAACAACATACTTATTAAATGCAATGAATGTCATGCAACTAATAAAACTCATGCAAATTCATGCAATGGATGATATCATATGATAAGAATATCCTAAGAGGTAAATAAAAACATATGATAAAATATAGTGCATAAATGAGAAGGTATAGGATGAAGTAAGGTAGAACTCCCTTTGAATCAGCCTTGGTGAAATTCAATGATTTAATCAGATCAAGACAAAAGTTAGGTCTGATTGGGATCACATCATAAACTGAACATTAACTTGTTGACTGCAATATAATAAAATTTGATCATAAAATCTCAAATTACTATCATATCTCAGTCATCATATTAACATCCAACTTAAAATAATTACTAATTTTTTAATGGAAAAGGACGAGTCTGAAACATAATGAATATTCGGGTGATCATTTTGTAACTTTTAATAGTAGAGAGACTTAATAAAGCAATACCCTCTAATCAAGGGATCATTTGCGTTCTTTTCCCTATAATTTTTCTTTTGACCGTAAAGCATATAACTTTTAAGTCTTCTCAAAATATATGGAAGAAAAATAGTGAAGTCATGGTCTTTGTTCCCATTTATTTGTTGCAATTACTCTTTATGAAGGGAAATGCCTCATGATTGACTAAAAGAAAAAGAGAGACTAAAATTATGTATTTTATTTAAAATTAAAATTGTATACTTTTTAGTGAAGCATGTAAATTCTTTTTAATCTAATAAAATATTTAAATTATAATTTATAATTATTTAAAATTTTAATGTTATTTTCATTGTCACACTGACATAATATAATAAAAATATCATTTGATATTACTAAAAAGAGTCGTATGATAAAAATTTGAATTTTTTTAATAAATTCAGAAAAAGAACTAAAATTTTGTTCATAATCTAAAAATTGAAATTTTATGGTTTTTTATTGTTTTATGTGAGTCATGTTAGTCTACTTTTGTTAGTTTTCATCATTTTTCATGACGGGTGGTCAAACTGAAATCAAAACGTAAAATAAGTGTGATTTAAAAAAATTGAGATACTAAAATAAAACCGTGTGAATAGTTAGATTACTAAATACGTAATTTACCGAAAGATATAATATGAGTATGATTGCACCATGTAAGCCATGCATCATCTTGGAGTGTAAACCAAGAAACAAAACACACTAGAAGAAATTTTATTCTTACAATAAAATTATTTATCGCTAAAAATATTAAATGTGTCACGATATATTTATCTCGACGAATTTTAACGAAATTTCTTATGGTAACAGTTAAAGTAAATTGCTTCATTTGGATAATTAATTGATGAACCAGATGCAACAAACAAAACTGAAGCTGCATCAATGGCAACTTTTATGATTTTATCTCCCACACAGCCCCAATACCTTGTTCCAAACCCATATGCTCTTCTTGATTTTTCTTGAATGATAGACCATACCATTCACATTTCCCCCAGAACTTTCCCACCACCCAAACAAAACTCCTACCACAAATCATGTGATAAATTGCAGTAAAAAGAAACGACTAAACCATCCGAATGCACGGTTTTCGACATCGAAGATCGAACACTCTCTCGAGCTCAGTCCTCAGTACCTATAATGAGGATGCTTGTATGGACCCTCAATCGGGACACTAATGTAGTCAGCTTGATCCTTGGTGAGCTTGGTGAGTTTAGCTCCAAGCTTCCCTAGGTGAAGTACCGCGACTTTCTCGTCGAGGTGCTTCGGCAATACGTAGACCTTCTTCCCATATTTGCCGGTCGCCTTCTCCTTCCACAGCTCAAGCTGAACATATCCTTGTTCGTATTCGTTTAAGAAATCTAATCAATTGTTTACTTTATAAAAAATTTAAAATATAAATTCTTTGTTCTCACTAAATATCATAAATATAAATATTAGACTAACAAATTAATTAATCTTAATTTGAGTAATAATTCTCAAATTTGATTCGGATACTAAATGGATACAAATTTTAAAAGTAGATTTACGATTTCGAATGAGGCGATGGGAAGATTAAGGTCAAATGAGAACTTAGTTTTGGGTGATTATCTTTAATATGCATCTCAATCATAGCCATTGTTTGCCTTAATACTCAAGTAATCTGTTTAACCCTAACTGCAATTTTATTATTTTTCGAATTATGAAACGGGTTAACGGGTCAGTTTGGACCCGGTTGATTCGAGTTTAGGTAAGAACTTTTGGATATAACAAACAACAAACAAACACAACACTTAACATTCACGATTTTTGTGACAATTCTCTCTATTCTTCAATGAATTGTGCTACTGCATTTATAAACTTTACACGCGTAACAAACAAGTCTCACTTCGGTTTCTGGAGGCAGCATCCGTCGCATGCTGCCTCAATCTCGGCACTCGGTGATGTATCGGAAAAACCCGTTGAAAGAATTCAATCAAAGATTTCCTGGGCTTCAATTATACTATGCTGACTGAAAAAATGAGAGCCGGAAATGATCTTAATCAGATGCTACAGAGAAAAATGAGTAAAGAAACTTCAAAAAAAAGTAAATAAATGATAAGCCTTACAGATCATCTTTGGTGACCCGATAATATCTCTCTGCATGTTGCCGTTGACCGATCAGTTGAGCAAAACGTTCGTCGTGAGTGATTACTATGAGCTGAAAATTCTCCTGGCCCTTTCTGTCCTCCATGATTCTGGACAAAGAGGAAAGGAATGATTGATTAAAAGCCGCTACTACTTCGAATAAATACGAGAAGGATAGACAGAAGTGCTCGTACCTAAGGAGAGCTGCTGCCAGACTCTCGGCATTCGGGCCATCCAAATTTGTGGTTGGTTCGTCTAGTGCTAAGATTCCACAGTTGAGGCAAAACGTCTCGGCTAAAGCCAACCGTATGATTAGAGAAGCAAGGACCTGAAACAAACAGTATGTTCCATGCAGTTTCATTTCCTCGTCGATGGTAGATAAAGTAATCAACAGAGTACTACTCATTTTCCCATACCACATTCGGTGATCACTCACCTTTTGACCTGCACTACATCGTCCTCTCATTTCAAGCTCCGCATCACCAGTTTGCATAAGAACCTGTTTTGAGGGGGGGGGGGGAATAAGTGATGACAAATGAAATTTAGAGGGGGAAAAACAAAAAATAGATAGAAGGCCTTACCTTATAGCTGTAAGAACGAGCTCCAGCACCTTGAGAATCCGAATGAATGCTAATATAATCTATATCTTGCCCTCTGTATGTTTGCTGCCACAATTCTCTTATAATTTTGTTTATTTCCTCCATTTTCATAGAATGGAAGCGCATGAGTGCTCTACAAAGGTTTCGAAAAGAAAACATGGTTATTTAAAAACGAGAAGTCAATAACAGATTTTGTATTTATACTTAACGGATGATTCACAGTTCTCTAGCCTGTTAGCAATTAAAGGACCATTCTATAACAGTTTCGGAAAGAATTCATAATCTAAATTGCTAGATGAGCATGAAATTTAAAAGAAGACCTGAAAAATGGGTAAATCACATACTTGTCAAGTGCATTGTAGTATCTGTCCAGGTCCTTGTTTGCCATCTCAGTTGTCTGCCACAGCCACAAAGCATGCAGGTTAATAACATAATAAAACAAGTAATAACAGTAAAATCCTGCATAAATTAAAATAGTTTCTACCTTAAGCTGGATTAGCTGATCAAAGTACCGCTTGTCAATGTCCTTGTATTGCGCTTGTTTAAGATCAGCCTTGTCCTTCGAAATATTATTCTGGTAAACGGAAATTGTTCCTCGGCATCTGTTGAGCTGTAGTGAAAGAGAAGCATCTTACAACTCTTAGACAGATACATTGAACACCTTTTAAAAAGAGCTTAATAATAATAGACAGAATGGTGAAGCAAACACATACATACAAAACTTAATATTAAAAAGGCTCAACACGTGAGCGGCAATAACGCATGAAGAGACACACAACAAAAAAGCACTACCCATCTTCCACACATTGAATCAATATGGGGTATGGGTAAAAGAACTGTAGGTCCATATCAACCCAACAAGGAGAAAATGATGGCCCGCTAGTGATAGACAAGAGGCTATCTGTGAATGAACATAATTGAAAAGGTTAACATGCAGAGATGCCAGTAAGAATCATACATACCTCTGAAAGAAGTCGCTCCCTTTCTTCAGAGACTTTTCGGAGTTCACCTTCAAATTTGGAAATACCTCCAATCTCCATTATTCTCTCTTGCAGTAACTCAATTTCATGAGTAAGCACATCTACATCAGCTTTTATTTTCCTGTAATTCAAGTTATCCTCAATATTACGTCTTAGTTGATCTTGATTACGCATCAAGTCTTTGCTTTTGTTTAGCTCAGCCAATGTTTCCTGTTTCTTAGCATCACAGCTGAGAAGTTGAGATTCCATCAAAGACTTCTGTTCTTGCAGTTCCTTTAGTTTCTCCCCCTTCTTTAAATCATAATACCTGTAGGCAAAAAACTTCCATTAGAATTCAATGGCACTTACGAGAAAACTTAAATTCCATGGTTCAGAAATATACGCTTTAATCTTTCTGTTAATTTCATAGAGTTCTTCAGCTTCATGCCGATATGAGCGTCGAAGTTCCTGCTGCTGCTCATATTCCTCGTCGAGTTTTACTTTCAAGCAATCATAGTCATTCAATAATGATTCCTTCTCCTTAACTGCCGAGTTGAGAGCCTGTGCTAAATGCTGAAAGGTCCAAGAACAATGCATTAAAAGAAAGGTTGAAAGTAAATCACATTAGCAACTTAAAAGTAAAGGGTTTATAAACAGAACCAATTATCACATTAAGAAGTATCATGGCTAATAATTTTAGAGATACATTAGCATGGCATCAGTCAAGGTATAAATTATTTCAACTTGATTGAAGAGACCGAGTACACACAACATAATAGTAGACTAGCAGCCAATCAGAGAGAAAATCTGTTAATATCTTATGAGAGCAAGCATACAGATACTAGCACAGAATATAATTCCAAGTTAAAGTAAACAATTAGATTAGTATCTTATCAGATTACCAACCTTCTCCTCAAGATCAAGTTGGCGTCTCTCCTCAGACATGTTCTCTATCTCTTCTTCTGCCTTTTTAAAATCACGCAATGTGTTAGCGACCTCCACTTTTTTCTCCCTTGCATCATGCCAACGCACCTGAATGCTTTGCAAATCCTTCTCCATGTACCTCTGTTCTGCTCTTAAGTCCTCCACAGCATTATATAAAGCATCCCTGATTGCAAAGAGAAGAAAAGTTGTTAAATACCGATGAGAAAATCAATATTATCTCTACAAAACTTTTATGCTTAAAACAGATGATTACAAGCTTATCAACTCCCTATATTTGGGTTGGATAAAAAAATGGCAGCTACCTTCTGCTTTGCAAATTGTTTAGCTCCAATTGGATCTCTTCCACAGTTCTAGAACCACCTTGCCCTCCAATGTCAAACTTACATTCCAAATGTTCAACTTCTGCTATCAAACCCCGAATTTCTTGAAAGAGCCTGTCAGCAGTTTCAACAGGTCCCATCAAAGTCTCAATAGCATCTTTGTCTGTCTTTACTTGGGCTAAAACACTTAACACCTATAAGAACAACAACAATAGTTGAAAAATAATGCATTGCTAAAACTAAATAATCATCATAAAAGGTTCTTTGATATTTTTAAATTTATACCATAACAAACATAGTCGGTAATTATTTTAAAATGCAAATTCAATAATTGCTTCTTTGGCGACTGGCATATACATACTGAAACTTAGGGAACATAGGAAAGAGAAAAAAATCAAGGCGTGATGAAAGAAGAATACTCTTTTAGATTGAAAGGCCGATTTAAAAAGCTTCATCTGAACTACATTTTCACTGGGATGAAAATCATCATACCTTCACAGGCAATTATAACAACTTTCATAGTTTAGACTTACATCATCTCATCCCTTCTTGTTCTATCCCAAAGTGAATATAGCAACTTCTAATGATAAGGACTAACAAATAATTATGAATGGTCTTCAGATAAAGTTGCTAATTATTTTAACTAGGGAAACTAGATAATCTAATCCTAAAAGAATTATTTCCCACTAAGTTATTTTTCATGAGGAAACATAGTACACTGAGGAAAATGTCTTCTGTAAGTTTTTTCAGAAATATATTACTGACCTCAGAAATACTTGGAATCAAGCCTGGTTGCACTAGTAGGACCACAGATCATATGCTTACAAATAAACAATTACAAATCACATCAATACAGCATCTAAAATGGGAAATTAATCTCCAAGGAATTTTATTGTGTTCTTTTTTCCTGCTCAGGACATATTTCTCTTCGCAACATGCCAGGAATAAAAATGTGCATAACCAGTATGACAATCCACAACAATCACGTGTAATGCTACCTCACCCTCCCAATAAAACATAGGCTGAACAGACAATGTTGATATATAGCCATTCTTTTATTTTTATCTTTAACAATAAATCGTAACAGTACTCATATAAAATCATATCTAGTGAAACAGATGCATACATCATAATGAGCTTGAGACTTTTGATCCAGCTCTTCAGTTAGTTCGTGCAAAGTTTTCTCAGCAAGAGGAATTGTCTCCTTTACAGTTTTATTATATTCCTCATAAACCATTCGAAGCTTGTCCAACTGCTGAAAGTAAGACTCGGCATTTGATGATTCCACAGCCAACACTTTCATATGTTCAGCTGAACTAGCTGCCTTGACTCTTTGCTGTAGTTTACAAGAAAATAAAACAGAATTTAGACCTTTATGCTAACCGAACCAATAGATTTTGATATCAGGGAATGCCCCTGAAAGTTAACTGAAAAATACTAAGAGGTCAGAGAGCGGTAAGGCTCTGGAAGTCCCAAGTGCAGATATCCTTATCCCCAATGTACACAAGTTTACCAATAAATACATAAGAAAGAGAAGATCAACGAAAAGCTTCAAGAGAACCTATAAATCACAATTCACAACCTTCTTAACAAATTCATCTTCTTCTTCAGCAGAAAAAGGACGCTCACAGCAGGGGCAAATATGATGAGCACGGGCAACTCTTTCAAATGGATCAAACATTTGCCTCATGCCATCTGCAATGTTGTATTTGCTGGAGGAAATGATCCAGTTATATTTCAAGCATGGCTAAAATAAATGGAACACTGAAAATGAATATATCCGTACATAACAGAATATTGCCTCTAAAAAGTCAAGAGCAAGAACCTTTTATGGACATCTTTTTTCTCCTGTGCAGTCTCCAGGACTTTTAGGTAGGAATCAATGGTAAAAGATTGTTTCTCCAAAGAATTTAGTCTGGCTTCAAGAAATCTCTTCCTAGCTGAATTTAAGTGACAAAAGAAAACACAAGAAAAACTAATATGAGTAAATTGATCTTAAGCTCTTTTGAAGCCAAAAGCTATGATCGTGGACTCTTTTAGCAGTAATCAACTCCTGATTTAGGGAGGATGGCATCACAGGAATATTTATTAAATTACTTAATTTTTGGTAGATTTTCAGTTTCCAAATTTCCAGGAATGGACCTTAGTCACTTCCCTAAGGCTTATCTTTCTATAGTGAATTTTCCTACTTGAACAATGTATAGCTTATAAAACTTCGGTGTGCTCCTAACCATAACAATTTTAAGAATCCAAGCCCAAGCATGACAAGTTTGAATTCACTTGATATTACCCCAAGGATCTTATTACTATTTTTCGTAAGTGCAAAATTTGCTATAGACTATTTCCTCATTCTCTCCCAACTGCTACACTGTATGTTAAACTGATGATACTGTCAAGAGTGATACTCATATACTTGTCACATCATATTTTGCAGCTACTTTTTTCCTTCAATTCCAACTATGCTTTGAGATAAAAGCACAATTCATTTAAACCCTAAGTTAACTACCAGATTTAACATGAATGTTAAATCTCCACTGTAGTTAACCTGCATATTAGAATCCTCAACACTATATAAAAATTACAAGAAGAACATAGGAACCATTAAGCACTATGAATATAAAAGGCATGAGAGCTACTTACAGTCCATTTCTTTCTTATATTTGGATAGGTTATTATTAATATCATCTATTTTCATCTGCAACATATTTACTTCCTTCTCAGCTTCACTGGATTTTGTGCTCAAGTCATCATACTCCATTTGAACAGCCCTGCGGTGGGAATTGCTCAAATTTTAGACAAAATTACGTACAAGTATGAGAAAGAAATATTAAAGTTACAAGTACCTAAATATACGATGCCAAAGAATAGTTTATATGACAGGAACTTAAAGTATTGAAAACAGTAATAAGTTTCAATAGAAACCAAATTAGAATATTTCAGAACAAATTGAAGCCAAATTCCCCAAGGAAAACCGATGATTACAAATATCACCTAAATATGTTAGCAGAAGAAACTAAATGATGATATTATAAAGACACATCTTTCAACTGATTGATTGTTGAGCCAATGCCTAGGCATCAAGTCATCCCTCCTTATTTAACCCACTTTTTCTAATTAAAAAGAAAAAACAATCCAATTGTAATACCATGTAAATATATCCATATATAGCATAAGTGCAAATAATTATATATGGCATACATTAACGACTTTATGATGAATTTATCATGCACACATTTGTTCAATATTATGTCCATGTTTGACTTTGCATGAAATTGTATTAATTTTTTTTTTACCTAAATGATGTTTTTCCTTATTTCAATTTATCTTCGTGTCAAAATCTTACCCAAAAAATAACTATATACTCATTAATTTATAAGCAATATACAATATATATATATTAGTGTATCAGGGAAGTTCTGTCTAAAAATCAGAATCAAATGAATGACCCATTGAAATAATGGAAGTGGATATAGTCATTCCATTTTAGTGTGATACTATTGATCTCGTTGAAGTAAGATCATCACCAGCTAGTGTTACCAAGGTAATAACAACTTATCACGGGAGAGAACTCTATAACCCTGGTTATCACTCTTGATAATCATTAATACCAACAGCACCCTCTATCCACACCCCTTCTCCAAAAATAAAAATCCTTTATAATAGCATGGCATGTTGAAGAATGAGTCAAGTAGTTTTGTTCAACTAACCTTAAAGCCTGGGTAACTTCCCTTTTCAGATCTTTGTCAGGAGGAACCCTCCCTTTTAGCACTACTCTAATCCTGTCTTTGTACTCTTCAATTCTTGAAAACAATAATAAAGCCATCAGCTTCAACACAAAAATAAATAGAAGGAAAAGGCCCCAAAACAAATTATAATGAGGCTGATGAAAATTGAAAGGTAAAGCAGATTTACATCTTTTTTTGCTGTTTCTTCTTATCCTCCAATTCTCTCTTTTTTATAGATAGCTCCATTCTCTCTTTGGCATCATTAGCAGCAAGGTTTCTCTCATGACCAAGTACCTTAATCTTTTGATCTATGGCAAACACCTCCTGCTGCTTTTGTTGTATGATTTCATCGTGGTTTCGTTCATCAAGTTGTTTTTTCTTTCTGTCCATCTCAACTTGCTGCCAACAACAAAAGAAAGGATCATTAATTTCCATTTTGTTAATCAAGATTCATTAGGAAGAGAATTTTGGATCCCAAGCAATGCCATTGAGCAGGGCTATACTTACCATATTCTTTTCTCTTTCATCAAGGAGAGAAAGATTGACATCCGAAATTTGAATTTCAAGAGAATCACGATTACTTTTTGTCTCTTCCAAACGTTTCAAAACAGAACACTGAAATGTATCACATGTAAATGCTCAAAAAAAAGAGGATAAAGGTAGCTGGTAATTAAGTTACATAAGTTTTCTCAAAGACAGACTTTGATTTCTGATTTTGCCTTCTTCTGAGCCTCAGCAATGTTGCAACGCTCACTGGCACCCAGGTAGCAATCCCATGCAGTCTTTAGCTTCAGGTCATTTGATTGCTGAAATTATGGGAAGTGATGTTCAGAATAACACTGATATCAAAGCCATATTGACATTTGTGAAAGGATAATCTCAGAAGTTAAAATGCATTGATAAATAATATGGTGTGCATTATACAAAAATTGATCTCTGTATGTTGCGCATCATACAAAATTTGATCTTTGTAACAGAGAAATAATAACTGCACACATATAGGTAGAAAGAAGATGGATTAGTTCATAAAAACACAAAAATCACCTTTTTCTCATCCAAATCTTTATTGAGCTCCATTAACCTCGCTTCTATTTGGCTCATGAGGTTCAAAGCAACTTCATCACTAAAGGGGCTATTAGGAGTAGATCCTAAATTGAGTCGTGCAAACAATCGTTCAATGGCAGAATCTCTGTCTTTTTTTGACATCACAAGGGTCTGCAAAAGAAAAGGAGTTAAACATAAAAAATTCACAAAATAAGATGCTCATGATTTACTTTTTAAAAGATCTCCTGTCTTTTTGTAACACCTCAGCATCCCTTTGAAGCTTGCCAATCTCCTCAGTACACTTATTTAATTTACGCCGATAAGCAGAGCTCTCTTCATCCAAATCCTGCTGGTTACGCCCCATTTTCTGAATTTTATTATCCAATAACATAATCCTCTCATCAAACTTGGTTTTCCATTCCATCAACTCTTCATCAGTATCTAACAAGTAACAACGCAATACAAGAAATAATACATAACAAATCAGTGATTCCTTAAATGCAGGATTTACATAGCTCCCTCAGAGACAAAAAGATAAAATAAGAATCCCGCTTCAACTATTGAATTGACAAACCTTCATTTTCCTCAGCAAGAGCTGCATATTGTCTTTGCTGTTCCTTGAACAAAGTGCTCCTTTCGGCAGTCTTTGTTGATTTTTGGTCCTCTAGCTTCCGCAGATCCTTCAGGGTTAACTCGGCATTATGAATCTTAGCATCCAGGTCATCAATGTTTTTCTCCAAGACTTGCATTTGGCTTTTCAATGATTCTGTTTTTTCTTGGTTCTGGGAAATGCTTTCTCGAAGCTGTATGAAGAACCATATCAAGAAAATTGTTTTCAAATTGAGGTTCATAAGATGTTGAATGTTACGGTAATAATAAACTCTAAACCCTACTGTTAATTGTATGGATTGGCGTCCCTCAAACATACAGCTATTAGATTAGCTCCAAAATTTGCAATAACTACGTTTTCCCCTCAACTTTACTGGCCTTCCCAACAACAGAAAGGTTCACCCACTTCTACATAGATTATTGTTCTACACATTCATGAGACACATTCAAGAAGAGAAATCTAGGTTTCAGAAACACAAGAGGAAAGTGTAATGTCAACATATTTATTTGCATTCTCACCAGGATAGAACTTTAGCTTCAGCACAGTTAAAACAGAGAGAGAGAGAGAGAGAACTAGAATGCTAAAACAATAGGCAAACATGCATGAAGATGCAGGGTTATAAAATCAAGAATGCCAGCCAAAAAGCCTAAATCTAAACATTAAAAACAGAAAACCTTTTCTGCAAACCAGAACCTAACATACACTGAGATCGTCTTCAATCAGATTCCTTCTTTTTTATCCCTCTTCCGGAATTTCTAGTAGATTATATCACTTGAGGACAAAGATCCTTTGTGTTTTCACTAAAATAAAATCGAACCCTTGACACCCCTACAGTTTTTGTTAACAAATTTGAACAGCATCATTAGAAACCAGTAAAACACAATGACTTGTTGGATGATAGAACAGTGCAAGTCTTTTATGTGGCTTATGCCATGTAGACCACAAGAGCTTTATAATCCTATTTACAACAACAGAGGAACAACACTAATTCAGAATAAATCATAAACAAATATTAAATTTGAGGAAGTAGAAACAAGATTAAAATCAATGAAAAAGAAAATAAACAAAAGAACAATACATCCACCTTATATGCAGCATCTTTCAAGGTCTGTAAGTGCTCCAGTTTTAGCTTGTAAGACTTTATCTCTTGAGCCTGATCCTTGTGAAGTTTTTTTATGACCTCCAAAGCTTTTGTATATCTGTTAACAGGCAGTCATTAGCAAAAGAATATCCTAAAACAATCAAGATGAGCAAATTGACCTTTTTTTGTGGATAAAATAAATCAGAAAATTGAATATCATAGTGAGAAACTGTACAAGTGCTTCACGAAAGTAAAACAAAACCATGCAAGGAATCCACCATGCTTTACTAAAAGCTAGTAGGTGTAAGAGACATTAAACAATATCCATATTTGATGTTTCAAGCATATAAACACTTGATCCTACAAAATAGAAAAATAAAAATAAATGTGAAGATTATGAGTCAATCCTTCAAAGATTGTGCATTTTCCTTAGAATATTAGATGAAAAATCTCAACTTGCAGCCAAGAGTTCAAGTAGAAAAGTACAATGTTAGTAAGAGTTCTTGCTTCAGAATGCTTCTGATAGACTTCCTTAGCAAACCTTTCCAAGAACCATTTTCGAACTTGAATGAATCATAAAATGAGCTGAAATCCATATGATTCAAGCCTAACCTTTCTCTTCTATGGTTATTGCTATTTATAGGCATTGAAACTTTCAACCAACTAAAACAAGAAGGCTTTTGAAATAAGTATATAAGCGATTTACAGACCGCATGCAGGAAGTATATTACTTTCTAGGACCACGAATATATAAAGAGAGTACAAGAGATGAGACAAAACAACTCTTTGATTCTTGGCTTATAACTTGGAGGCAAAAAATGTGAATACAATGACTTTTGAAAAGAATGGTGTTTCTGAACACATAAAAAAATTCAAAAACATGGCAGCACCCATAGTTGCACAAACAACGGGTAAATGGTAGTACACAACTAATTTCAATATTGCGAGGGAATGGTTTTGTTATAGGGGAAAAAACAGCATACCTAGTAGCTGAGAATATATCATCAAACTTCTTTTTCAAAGTCGAAGGATCTTGTAAAGGCCAATTGGCCTCATCTTGGTGAACAAAAATCACATTCTCTAGGATAGCTTTTGAGACACCCATCAAAGCTGGGATTTCTCGGTCCATGTCAGCACATCTGTAGCTGAGGCAAACTTTCTGCAGTTAACAAACAAACAAGAAAAATTAAAAGGACAACCAGAGGATTCATGCAAATTAATGTAATCTGCACAAGGAGATTGATTAAAGCAACAAGTAGGATCGGCCAAAAGAATGTTTTATATAACCTCTCCAGTGTGAGGATTTAGCGTCTGAAGAACACTCTCGATTGCTTTATACTCCATCTTAGAAGCCTTCTGTGTCAATTGGAATGACCTTATACAGACCACATCTTTTCCCGCTGCTGTCTTAAACCGGAGCTTAATTTGACCTTTTGTCTCCGTCTCCCCTGCAACCTACACACAAGTATACACACCCCTATAATAAATTATCCCATCCAAGTATTTAAATTACAAGTTTAAAATGCTAAACATAGTTTCCTCATACTCAATTTGATTTCTACATGTTCTTCCATTACTTACATTTCATTTCCTAAAAGATGCACAAAGCAAAATCAAACTCCACTGTAGATGAGCATATCGCTGATGCTTAACATAATGGAACATATTTCTTAGCATGAAAACCAAATTTTTAATCCAAGTGAAGAAGGGTACCTTAGGATCATGAATGAAACTATGGCCGGACCTTGCATTTGGAGGCAACTCCCCGGTGCAAGAAAGCTTCAAACACTCTATAATCGTCTGCAACCCCCACCCACCAAAAACCATAGAACCCATTGAAGAGAAGTGTACAAAAAAACAATATATTAAAACGAAAAAGGAAGTGAGGAATGATTACAGTTTTGCCAGCGCCATTGTGTCCAACGATTAGGGTTAGGGGTTTAAAGAAGGCGATGACATTTTTGTTTTCCGGATCGAAGCTCCGGATTCCTTTTATGAGCATTTTATCCACCGTGCTCATCTTCTCTGTTCGGGGTTTATCAAATTCTGGGTTTGTGGTTTAGTTCACTGACGATTAAACAAGCTCGTGAAAGCTGCTAAAAAGAAAGGAAGGTTCACGCAAAACAAAACATGGGTTATGATTATAGCGGGAAGGTTTACTTAAGCAGAAGAGAATACTAGAAATAAATAGTCCGAATCATTGTAGGGATTGAAAGGAAGCAAAATAAGAGGGAAATGGGGAAGGTGGATTCATTATTTTTTACTGTTCTTAAGAAGCTGGTGGAAAGACCGGACCGGACCGGGTTTATTTGAATATATTCTAGGGTAAACTTCCCTCAAGGTCACTAAACTATTTAATAATACTATTTTTACCAATCAACTAAATATTTTATCAATTAAGTCACTAAATTATCAATTTGGTTTCAATCAAACCACTAACAGTTAGGGGTGTCCATTAATCAGTTAAAACTGATCAAACCACCGAACCAAAAAAATTTTGGTTAATCAGTCAATTAGTTTTATATTCGATCGATTAACGATTAATAATTTTTTTAAGGTTTGATTATTAGTTAATTAGATTCAAAATCGATTAATTAACAAAAAAAATTAAATATTTAATATATTATTTATACTATTTATATATTACTTAGCTTTTGGAGTGTTAAAATTTCGATTTTAATCGAATTAACCTACTAAATCAACCGAATTAACTGAAAATATTAAATATTAAATATATTGTATATATTATTTAAAATTCTGGTTAATTCAATTAACTGACGAATTAATCAAACTTTGTTCGATTCGATTAAAAAAATTTTGAAAATTTTCGATTTGATTCATGGTTAAAGGTGAAAAATTTTCAATTAATGATTTTTGACCAATTCGATTTTGTTAGTTAACCGAACCAATCAGTTGGACACCCCTATTGATACATTGTGTCCTCATTATTTTCACATTTTATAAATATAATTAAGAAATATAAACAAGAAATATCATTTATAACTACATTGTATCTAACATCACTCGATGTATCAATCGAGAAAGGGTCATATGGGCCCAATGGGGGCTTCACTTAGGCCTTGTCCCCTTCCTAGGTTACTAGCGTGTTGCCTAAGAACAAAACCCGAAATATTTATATTTTGGAACTCGATGCGTTCGGGAAGTTTTTCCGTACGGCCGCTTAATTTAAAGTTAAAAAATGCAACTGAAAATGTTTAAAGAAATATAATATTTTCGTGCAATTTAAAATGTTAATCTTTTAACATTTTCGGTTGAGTATAACTTAAAATGTTAGAAAAATTAAAATTTTCGATTTGAACTTATAATATTTTCGGTTATCAATTGAAAAATTATGGAGAGGATGTGCAATCGGAGAATATTAAAAATATAACATTTCAAGTTATGCTCAACCAGAAACTTTATACTTTTTTAATATTTTCGATTACGTCTTTCCTTAAACTTAAACTAGACTATAGTCCCTCGCATAGCTTTAAAAATACATAAAATTATATTTGTATTAATTATGCACATAAAATTTTCAAAATATATTTATATTAGTTATGTATGTGTATAATTTTTTTAAAGTGATTTAATATATATGTGTTATGTTCATTCATTACTTATTTTATTAAAATAAAATAAATATAAATCATAAAAAAATGAAAATAAAGAGTTTAAATTAAACAACAATAAACAATGCTAAATGAAATGTCTAAAATATTTTCTTATTATCAATAATAGTTGATTTATAGGATAAGACGTTAAATATTTTAAATAAGAGTTAAAATTTAAATTAATAAATTTTTTAAATAATAAGGATTTATTATTTTTTAAAATTAAGATAAATTTGAAGTAAAACAGAACAATTTAATATGTGATCAAAATAGAAATAAAACGGAATAATAAGTGTGATTTTAAAGAGGAAAAAATAGTGAGTGACCATAACATAAACTCGAAAATAGGTGAGTGACCAAATCAGGTAGTTTACCCAAAGATTTAACGATGTAGGACTCTTAAACACTATTGCTTGCTCTCGTTGGTTCCAGAACCCTAGACATGCACAAAGTCGGATAAAAAATTGATCCGGTTTGGATAAAAATCGATCCAATTTTTTTACCTAGACAAAAAATCAGATTTAAAAAAATCGGTTCGGATCCTAACCAGTTTGGAGGGTCGGATGGTGTAATCGGTTTAGGTTTTTAAAAAACTGGTTTTTAAAAAAAATCGGATATAAAAAAACCGGTGGTGGTAAAATGGTGATTTTTTTAGAAAAAAACGGTCACAAATGTAACATCTCAATTTAGGGGCTAAATTTTAAGAAATTATAAAATGGTGAATTTAATTGATATTTTGAAAGAAACGGTGGATTAAATTGTAAAGTTTTAAAGTTGACAAACCGTTTTATAAAGTGTAGAAAATTCAGTGGCTAAACTCAAGGTTTACCCATTTTTATTATGAGATGAATTATAAACCCCCTCTCTAGGTTCTCATTTTTCTAGTTTTTCCTTCTCCAACAACCCTCCTTTCAACTCCGATCTACTCGTCGTCCGACCTCCGATCGACAAGCCGAAACCACCATCGTGTTCGTTGTCTACCGAGGAACAAAACCCCTCAAACGTTTCGTCGTGAATCATCGCCGTTCGTCGTTAATTTGAGTCGGAAGTATTGTCGGTAATAACTCGATTTCAGTTGGTTTTTCATCGATTCACGACGATCCGATGATCCGTTTACGACACCTCCCGCACCATCGTGTTCCTTGCATCGTTCCGAGTCCGCCGGTGTCATCCTTGGTCTCCGTCAACGGCGGCGCGTGAGGAGGTGAAGCGGTCAAAGTTTCTGATTTGTTGAAATCGAGCTCTCCGCCGTTCAAAATTGTGAACTGAGCTTTGTAAGTATCTCGAAATCGCTCAAAATATTTTTTAGTAATTTTTCTGGGAATTTAGCACTGTTCACGCACCGCCACTGCGTGTGGAGAAGAAAAAAATGACCGATTTGACCGGTTTTGGAGCTATTTTGACCGGTTTCGACCTGACCCGTTTACCCGACCCGTTAACCATTGACCGGTATTGACAAAAGTTGACCAAAACTTTGACTGGCTTTGATCGGACATTAAACGACCTTTGACTTTGACCGAGTATACCTATCCTGACATTTTTCGACGTTCCAAATCCAATTCCGCTGTCCGTTTTTCGAAATTTGAACTCGAATACCTTGAAATTTCCAGTCAAACCCGTTGACTTTGATTTTGACCGAAATTTCCAAATTTTCGAAAAGTCATATTTTATGCTTTCGACGTCTTGAATCTGAATCTGAAGTCCGTTTCGCCAAATTCGAACCCGATAAGCTGTTTTTCACTGATTTATCACCCGATTCGATCCGTTTATCGCAATTAAGCTCCGTTTTTTTATATAATTTATGTTGATATGTATCTGAGGAATTATTGGAAGTTGAATTGAAGATCAAAGGCATTCCAATGGAATTTTTATGGTCGATCAATATTGCACGAAAATCGAGGTAATACTTTACTACCTCTTTATGCTTTATGGTCGATAACTGAATTCGGATCGAATGATTAATATAAGAGATTGAGGGAATGTTAGAATTAAATTACAAGTTGTGTGATTTATGATAAAGAAATCAATCATAGATTTGTAACTTATATTTTAAAGGTTAAATGTTAAAGGTACTTGGATGGGAAATTATGAGAATACTCTGGTAGGGTAAAATTACGAAAATACCCTTATGTTTGAGGATAACAAGGATTGTCCCTAAAAGTTGGTTAATAACTCTGAAAAGACATATTGATCCGATATAATTACAGATGTGCATAAGAAATGCTAGTTTTGCTTAGAAAATTTGGATAATTGATTTTTAACCCTAAAAAGGTTTGTATAAGATATTATAAGTCTGTTAAGGAATCATTTCGAGATCAAAGAATGTTCAAGAAAGCAATTAACCATTGGATCTCTAAAGTATAATTATTTTCGTTAAGAGTTAATACCAAAATTATCTGATTAAAAAATTACAAAAATACCCTTGAGAGGTAAAAATAGTCCAAGTTGACTCTGAATGAGGAAGTAACATGAGAATTTGTTTTAAACCGATAAATTACTGATTTGATTGTTGAGATCTAATTTTTGTATGGAAAATTCTGATAATCTGTTAGTAATATTTGAGAAGGCCTTTAACTTGGAAATCTCTGACTTGAGTAAGTACGTGAAGAATAATAATTTATCGATGGTGATATTTTGTCAGAATAGTTCAAAGGGACTGACATAAATGATAAGTTTGAATTAAATAATAAGACCGAACGGAAGGAAATGATTGAAATATTCTAGAATTGTAAAATGGCCAAAATACCTTTTGAATGGAAATGACTCAAGAATGTCACCAAGCTCAGGAATGAATGGATATACTCAAGCTTTGAAATGAATAGAAAAACGTTGAGCACCAAAATGACCAAAATGACCTAGAATAAGTAAATGTCTTGGATTAATTAAGAAATCCAAATAAACATGGATGTTGTGCTACCAGTAAAAGTTGTGGAACGCAGCTTAAGTGATCAACCAACGTTAGTGCTATATCATTACCTGAATGATATAAGTACCACTCGAATGTTTGTTCATCTTCTCAAATTTGGATCGATGATAATTTTGGAAGTACTTGGCTCAGCTCAACTCTAGAGCGCATACAATATTAATAAGTGGGTATTCGTTAGTCAAATCAACCACGAATACCAGAATGACTTTATTATATGAATAAATTGAACTGAAATGAAGTACAACGTGTATTTGAAATTCAGAAACGTCTGAATTATTCTGGAAAACTTTAAAGTAATCGGGATAGACTTGCTTACTAAATGAACTAAGTAACATCAATGACTGAGGATTAAATAGGTGATTAGATGAGTTTGGAAACACTGTTGAACTTACATGATGAATTGTCCTTATGGGTTATGAGCCATGGATCAAGTACGTCCATATTTCCTGATATTGTTGAAACGTGGAAATGAAATAAAGACCGTTGGAAGATTTATTCAGTGATGGCTATGGGGATGATCTATGGATCTGCATTATGGTATTAAAGAGTGAATACACTGGAATGATAATGAATTGACTTGTTGACATGCATCAGTTTGGGAGTTGAATAACTTGAGTTGTTTGATAATATGATCGATAGTCGTAGATTGTAAATGACTTGAATCTTCGATTCTATATT